CGAGCTGTTTCAATGAAGCGTTCTTGTCTGCTGCAGAACTCGGCGCCACTATGGGTGGCGAGATGGGCGTCAGGCGACGCTCAAGACCGCGTCTAAACCAAGGATGGCTACGAACTGTTTCGGCCGTGGACAAACGCGCAGAGGGGCGATGGGCAAGTGCTCGAGTTAGGAAATTTGTGAGATCGGCTGGTAGCCGGGAGAAAAGTGGTGATGCATGCAACTCGTGCCGGTCGCACCAAGCCCGGTAAACTGAATCGACCCGCGGATCAGCGCGCGACCAACAACGCTGACCAGTGACTGCAGTCAGTAATGTAACGGCCAATGAAAAGAAGTCGGCAGACGGGCCAGAATAACAACTATAGACGGAAAAAAACATATAGAAGTGATTCAACAATAGTCTGAACAAGGCTAACTGTAAAGCTTTAAAATAAACTCGTGGGTATGAAAAGCAAGACGGTCGCGATATTTTTGTTGTATAAAAGTGATTTGACCTCATTAGCACAATGTAATCAGATAGCCTGAATGAAAGGAGTGTGGCATGGCTTTTCGTTTCAAAGATAAAGTTAGTTGAAGAGAATTCGTGAAATATCCTCACCAGAAACCAAAGGAGGCTTGCCTCTGAGTGAAGACTGCTGGATTGTGCGAAGAAGTCTTCGGCACACCGTCTTGCGACACCGATAAATTTGTGTTAAGTTCTCGCCTGTACTGTAACAGACATCATCCGAGCAAAAATATAGTAAGTCAAGAGAAAATGTGACCGGCTGCAGCCATAGTTACTTTTTTGTACACGAAAACCTTGCGATCTTAATGAGGCATCCCATGATTTGGTTGACTACCTCAAACGTACTCTACATGCTTGCAGACGATAGAAGATTATTCACGAACTGGAAATGGAAATGATTTCTAGAGAACAGGTTATCTGGACAAAAAAACACTTACCAAGGTCCATGGATCCCAAAACCCCAGCTTGCTGAGCACATGGTTAATATAGGACAGAAATGAAATATAATGGTTCAAAACACAGCGTCTTGAAGCTAACGGGATACTATATCTAAGCTTACGATTATATATATATATATAATGAAAAATCAGCTAACGTCCTGAGTAAGCTTGGATGTAATTAAATGAGCAGTAACTAGTTGTGGCTGTTGGGTAGACTTACGAAGAGATAAGAAGAGGGGGAAGAGGAAGGACCAATGAGTAAGAGGCTTGAAGGCTTCGAGCCTAAATAGGGCTTTCGCACTTAACATGAATGACATTGTATGCACACAATACGCAATATCACATATTCAAAAATATTTCAGGATCAGAAATTTGATTAGTTAGGCAAGGAAGCAGCTGTCTTTACATCTATTTCCTTTTTGCTCATCAACCTCCCACATCTGCAAGAATGTATGCAAGGCATAAAATAACCAACAAAATCATGAGATACTCCATTAGAGTCGCAAAATAAATGTGATTACAATGTTCCACTCTTTTTTTGGATTATTGTATTTGGTGATGTTTTTCGTAAAGTATGATTTCTCTCTCTCTCTGATAATGTCTATCACATGACAGATGAAAATGGAGCACAGGTTCATCGGGGTCGCAGAAAGATGATCTGATGACTTTTTCGCACAATCCAAAGGTCTTTACTTCGCAGCAATCTTCCTTCGGTTTCGGGCGAGATCAATTTACGGATTCCTTTCAACCAACTTTGCCTTCGAAATAGAAAGTTGTATCATAATATATCGCTAAGGAAGTCATCGAAGCCTCACGTCAAGCATTGAATATATCAAGTAGGGATGTATCAAGTCAACGGTCCGAAGCCAAATTCTATCATGAATTCTATGACAGACGATTCCAAGAAAAGGTGCCTTCAGCCAATTCGCCCCGAAAACAGGACCAAGCTGCAAAAGCGAGGTCAAACCACTTCTTCATAATAAAATTTATTAATGTAGAAGCTAGAGTGAATTTGTCCATAAATCACAGGATACTCTTGTTATGAAAAAGGCTAGAATAGTATCGAAGGTGTACTGCTCCTTCGATTAGCTTTATCAGTAAACTAAAGATTAAGATAAGTTTGTAGTGACCTATCCTCACACTCTTCCCATTCAATATTTAGTTTGTTACATCCCGTAAGTAGACATGGCTTAAGAACTTTGAAAACAGAGATCACTAAGTGTATGACTAATCTTCACTCTTATTTCGCGTCTACTAGTCAATTCTTGGCCCTGACTGTTCTATTCGGAAGTTGACATGGAAAATTACGCAATCGTATATCAAATTTCCAGCATATTTTTTAGGTCGATCACATTTTCTTTTTTCTATTTCCACCCTCCGCTGTGACCCTTAGAGTTCATAATTTTTTTTCGAGCAGCCTTTTAATGATTGTCTTTCTATTGTCAGTCGCCTATTCTGTATTTAGCCGTTTCTAAATAGGACACTTGGTAATACTATTTTTCATCTCCTCTCTTTGTTTCGGGACCTGCAAATTTTTAGTTATAGGATACAAGCGTTTTATATTTTAGAGACAGTCCATGTCTTTCTTTGGAACACTAAACGTCAAATACAGAGGCGTGAGCGCTATACTAACCAGCTCCCAATTGGTTAGCAAATAAAGATTAAAAATGACATGAATTGGTATTTGAGCTAAAAATAAATGAGCCGGTATTATCGCTAGTGTCAGCCGGAATGTAGAGTTTTCTCTCGATTATCAATATCAAGTGGATAAGAGGAAAAATTGCAAAGTACCATTAAAATCAATGTAAATAGAGAAAAAATTAAGTATATGCAATCATATTTCAGCAAATTGAGTATAAAAATACGAGGGAAAGTAAAGGTAACAAGATTATTAATATCAATGAAAAAATGTCAATTTATAGAAGAGGTAAGCAGATCGACAAGATTAAATGGTACTAAATCCCAGACTATTATAGTAAAAATAGTTTGAAATAAAGACATAGATGTGAGAACAAGGAAAAAGAGTAAAACATGGAAATCGAAATATCAGGGCTATGAGAAGAGCCCCTATTGAGGGTTAAATAGGTTAAGCAAGCAAAGTAAAAAGAAAGCGGTTGTTCAGATTGCAGCATTATAGTTATAATGATCCTGTAGATCCAAAAAAATAGATCAAAGCTCGTTTATGGTAGCTTGGATATAAATTGTGCCAGATATTAGTCGTTAGAGCAAGGCTACTGTTCAAATACTGTCTAGCTTAAATAGATTCGTAACACAGAAAATATTTTGCGATCATAAGAGGGCCACAATGTCTTAGTTTTTATAATAGTCTAGGCCAGTGGTTTCCAAACTTTTCCTAGCCGCAGCACCCTTTTTCAATTAAATTTTTCCATGGAGCCCTACCCTAAGTATGACTATTCGTAGGTAAGAGATAAAAATAACTAAAACTCGTGTATCTTCATTATTTTTTTTACTTTATTAACAATAAATTAATATCAAATAATTAATGTGATGGATGAGCCTGTAAATCACTGCACATTTCCTCAAATTGAAGCTTTTACAATATTTCGCTGCGCCCCTGTGAAGAAGCCGCGGCTCCCCGGGGCGCCGCGGCGAACAGTTTAAGAATCACTGGTCTAGACCAAATACGTTAGAGGGAAAAGTGATGAGAATGATTCAATCTCAAATATACAATTTTGCCTCATTTATAAGGATAATTGGTTGAATGATTTTATATGAAGAGAAGCTGAGGCTTAAAGAATCCCTTAATAGATTTATATTGACGTACCTTTCATTTCGTTTGAGAAGGCGGGTCGACGGAATTCGTAGATTGGCCTCACCGAATACAGCAAGAGGGTTGCCTTGGACTTTTGTCTGTTGAATTTTACGAAGAAGACCTTAACTCACCGTCTTACGACCCAGATTACTCCGTAATGAGCTTTCTTTAGGAGAATTTTCCGACGCCCTCTGCAGATAAAGTTGTTATAAGGTTTTATGCTCATGTGGTAGTGTTTATGTGGAGGAGACTTGTCGACCCATACATAAGAGGCTATCAGAAAACAAAACTGCCTGCAAAGGTTTATTGATTCAGAAATCGGGACTGGCAGAACGTGGTAGCTATAGGACACCAGATAGTGGTCGAAATCTCAAAATTTTTCCGGATATGGGGACTTCACAGCTAAGCGGAAGATCAGGGAGTCGATTGAAAGTAACAAAAAAAGAACATCCTGAATAAAAGGAATGAATATAGGAATCTAGAAAAGAACTATCTCTGGCTTCTAAATAGAATAAAGAGAGAGAGACAAGGAAAGGGAACAATAAGAGCCACTGAGCAAGAAGAGAAGACTAGACTAAGCTGAAGCTTGTTTTTGAACCTAAAATTGTCAACTAATTCGGGATAGCTGCATACACATGCAAAAATGCATCCATGAAGCTGTAACAAGACCCAGGACTAGTGGATCATACTCTAGTTTATTTGCATCGGCAAAAGTAGTGACCACACCCACTCTCCTGCTTACATCACTTTGACCTACTTACATGCATGTATGACAAGCATACGTCAGCCAACAAAATCATGGAATGCCTCATTATGATCTCAAAGTGAGGTATAAGAAGTAGGATCTCAGCCTTTCTTGGCTTAGTGTTTTTTGGTGATTTTTCGTGAATGATGATTTCCGGCGCTGACGATGTCTGTCACAGGACAGACGAATGCTCAGAACGGAGTCATCGGGGTCGTAAGACATTGGGCCGAGGTTTTCTTTGCGCAATTCAGCAGACAAAAATCCAGGGCAGCCCTTCTGCAGTATCCCGTGAGGCCAATCTACGAATCCTTTTGACCCACCTTCTTAAACGAAATAAAAGGTATCCCAGTATGAATGATTTTATAATAGGATAAAAGTTGATCGCAACTAGGCTAGAATGACTCAAGTTCTTGCTCAAAATGTGAAAGAAAATGAACAATGAGCGACACAGTGGATAAATGAGACATCAAAGTGTAATATTAGTAAAAATGTTAATATCTAGTGACTTCGGAACATTAAATAAATATTAAAATGTTTAACCTACCCTCTCCCGAAAACTTCTGGGGCCGCATAGCTAGTAGTGCCGACTGGCCCACGGAGAAGAGGAGTCTTTTTTAAGTCTACTGCCCAACCGAAATCTATAAGTTTAGCGTGGTCCTTCTTTGTCAACATTATATTTTCTGGCTTGACGTCTAGATGCGCAATCTTCTCTGCATGTAGATATGCAAGAGCATCGACAATCTGAAGTGAGAAAAATGAATAGCTAGGCTGTATGAAGTAAAATATAATTCAAAATATAGCAAAGACTTATTTCGAACTCATAACAGTAAAGGTACTAACCAAAAACAGTGCAATGCCTCTTAGGATCACAAGAACAGTCCATGAAGGGGAAATAATGGAAGGATGATTTGTATGTGTTAGGCATATAGCCCAAGAAGGATCAAAATTCATAATCCATACGAGGCCGAATAATTTATAACAGAAGATAACCATCAGCCCGACGGCCTTTTTACCCAATTATTTAACATAGTCATTGTAGAGACTTTTGTTTAGTACAAACCTTCATCACCTTCATTCCTATAATTAGCCTGGATAAGTTAAATACGGTAATCATCTCAGTTTCATTCTCTCAGCAGCTTAATTCTAAGTCAGTCTCACTAACGAGGTTTATATACCTCAAATTCTATCATCTGGCAAGGCTATATTTGCACCCCTTATCATCAACTTATTATGCTGAACTTTTTAATGTCCCCGGTCCATTAATTCGGTGGCGAACAACTATCTTTTTATGGATCTCCAGCAATGTCAGTGTTGAGCTGACTTTCATGTATTCTAAAAGTATATGGTAGATTGGTAGTTCGATTTCGAAAGACGGAGGACTATTGTGTGATGTTATTTGAGTTTTGGGGAGTTCTGAGATGACAATCACGGAGATACTTATTCGGTTCCAACTCAAACATACTGTGGTTTATTCTTTCATACGAAGTATGTCATTGACACTGAATCTCAATGTTTTAGGAATTTTAAGCCAACACTGAGCCAAGAAGGCTAGCTGGCTCCTTACCGCATCCTATAGACACTATAAAAAATTTTGGTATCAGTTACAGTGTTTTTGTGTACAACTCAGTGATGATTGAAGCAGGGCGACTCCAGTAATGCACCAGCATGAGCGTTTCAGTAAAATTGGACTTATGCAGACTAATAGAAATCCACCGTCGTTTGACATTTAAATTGATCCACGTACCTTATTACACTCGTAAATGATTGAGAGCTCAATACATTTATCCTAAAAAGAACCCGACTCGCGAAGAAAAGTTGGGCTCCGAGGAATCTCTTATTTTAGAGTTGCTGAGCTTACTTCCATTTCGAGTGAAAGTGTTTGGTGAAGAGATTCGAACGTCGATTTCACCAGAAGACGACGGAGGATTCCTCTTGATCAGCTGTCGATTGGCTTCACTGTAACATTCATGATAACGCTGTTTGCGATGTAATCTCCTTCGACTCCAGTGAAAACGTGCTAAGCTTTCGTCCGTCATATGACGAACAACATCATAGCAAGGTATCATCGTTACAACCAAATTCAAACTGAGTCAAGAAAACTCAGGCAAATCCCTAAAAGGCTATTTACATACCCTATATATATGGCCTCTTTGATAAGGTATAAAGTTTTTTGGTTAGATACGAGCATGTCAACCTCTAAACCTGTTAATTTGCCTATCTCTGTATATGTATGTGCCTGTTTGTGTTCGCTAATGCACGAAACCAGCAGTGATATTTAACAGAAATTAAGAGAGAAAAAGTAGCGTACGCTCTCGGTTATCAAGGCTTGAATATCACTACCTCCCCCTTTTTACATATATGTTATAACCATCACTCCGATTGCGTAAGGTCGGATACATGTCTGACAATGCTAATAAGCCA